TATCAATATCATGGTTGTAACGGGTAACGGGAAATCAGGGTTCGATTCCTGGGAGTGAGTCTGAGAGACGGCTACCACAACCAAGGAAAGCAGCAGGCACGCAACGTGGAAGTAGTGACGAAAAATGACCAAACGGGAATCATCCTTTGTAATCGGAATGAATACACTCTATATCTCTTAATGAGAATAAAGCGCATAATATATAAGTTTTGAGAGTAATTAAAATATATATATATATATATTATCGTACGTCGGTAGTGCCCCAATGTAGACACAAAAGTTTAACACAAATTTATTAATGTTTTATATATCTATAAGTTCGTCGTTCGAGCTCTTCTCGAGTCTCCCCGTTGGATAAACTGATCAGCCCCAATCTCTCTAATTAGTGGACTACTAAAGGGGTAGAGTTTAGACCCGTCGTCAGCACAGTCTAGCTCAAAAGTAGCAGACTGAAGGGTGGCTACTTGTCAGCCACCAGCACAACTACCTTTTTACTATACCCACTAAAGGACGGTTAAGCCCAAACACTAGCCAGCTCGTACACTAATTATCAAGATTAACTAAAGGACCAGCAATCCAACCTAGACTCTAGCCGCACACACACACACAAATTCTAAGAACGCGGTGAATATAAAATATTTGCGCTAAGCCCAGATTTTTAAATAGTTATTTTATTTACGAAATGTATTAAACACAAAGTCAAATATAATATAATAATTAATTAAATCTTAAAAAAATATTAAGTTATTCTTACACCAACGACTTAACCCGTAACTCGACGTTTCTTTGACAAAACGTCCAGTCTCGTCTCGCCCAGTATCGTCCTCTTATACTTTTCATGTTTCCCTTTTATATTCTTTTTCCCACCATTATTAATTTGCTTACCCTGCATTTCCCTTTTATATGGAATTATTATATTGCTTAGAAGTTCAAAAATTGCTTACTACTATTGTAAAGGTTATATTATACTAAAATTGGACATAATTCAATACTTCCTCATCTAATTACTACAATATATATATGTACATGTAAAGCGACTTAAGTATGTAAACGTATCATGCCATGGTATAGCCGTGTTTTGTGGGCGGGCGTGGCGGGGGAACGTTATACACGAGGCATATACGGCGGCAGCGGCGTCAGCTGTAGGAATATATAAATAAATATTAACAAATACGTATATATAGACATTAATATATATTAATATTAGCGGCGGCGGTAAGAATATATGATCTTCGCATAATATCGTGGCACTTTCGCTGGCGTCGACGACACGGTGTCCGGCGTGATCCTTGGACGACAAAAGATTAGCAGCGTTGAAAGAAACGGTGCGCGAGTGCGGATCGGTTTGTTGACGTTGTTGCTTTTACAACGGGAAGAAGACTACAGTATCATTAGCGGCGGGACGCCGTCGGCCACTTGCTGGACTTTGCACCGTAGCGTATAATGCGCGGCGTTGGTCAGTCAAATACTCATAAAATAGAGCGACGGCTGATAAAAGTGGCACGAGTCGTGGGGCATCGTGTATGACGAAACGACGCGGGGCCGTGTCAATCAGAATAAAAATGTGTTATATATATATTAGGGTGAGAGCTGAGAAAAAGTGGCAACAGACGTAAAAAAAACACTTCATGGTAAAATAAATACTTTCTCAGCTTCGCGTCGAAGCTTAAAAGATTAATATAATAGTTTAAAAACAAAAAGTTTAAACTTTGTTATATGAAATATATAACCATTTCAAATTATTGATAATTTATTGTCATTATTCGATCTGTAGTTAGTTGTGAGGATGAATATAGCCAGGCAAGTACTTATCAGCTTACACAATCAGGATATTGGGAAAACCAATTGGATTTGGTGGTGGAATATTGGGAAGTTTAATATTTTTTTTATTGCTTATAACATTTTTAATTAATTAATTTAATTTGTTTATTAATGATTTATTATTACTCAATAGACTGTTGGATGTTCGAAAGCATAGGTTAAATTGTATATACCATGAGTACTATGTAATGCAATAATATTTTAACTAATCTAATGTGGATTTTGGTATTAAATGCTTTACGTATACGATTTACACTACACGTCATATGGTCAATATAAAACCTACGTAAATGATTCAAATTTTAAATAATATGATTTAATTACACAAAATCTATGACTGATTTTACTTGTAAAGATTATAAACACTGTATATATTTTAATAGTATAATTTACAATTTGTCTTTTTTTAATTTTTTTATGTTTGTTGAACAAGTACTTTCTTTTGAAAGAATATATTTTATTGAGAGTTCGACACCAATATTTCTTAAATCTTCCTTTGGTGAGGCCAAAACAAGATTAGAAAATATTTACACACATATATATATATACAGGGTGATTTTTTTATCATAACCCACTCAATTACTTGCAGAATAATAATAATTTAAACATTTTTTTTTTTTATTATCTTTAGTTACACATTATTCTTGAATTTTTAACTATGTAATACTTTTTAAGTTCATCCCTTATGCCTTGGAGGGGGGTCAACTTTGTTTTTTTAAATGGTAACACATATTTTTAATTTAATAAAATGTTTGAGTTTTTAATTTAACAGTAAATGGCATTTGAATTTTTAATATAACTTTATTAGCTTATTAGATATAAACATTTAAAGATTCAATTTTTTGAGTTAATATATAGGTATAATACACAATGGATTACAAATACAGGTAGCTAATTGATTTTTTATGACATCGATATTAGCAGGTACACAGCATTGTTATTATCAATGATAGTAAGGTACATTGTTGTGAGTTTATAAATACACTAACTGACAATACAAAAAGT